CCCCGCCCCGCCCCGCAGCCCTGAACTGAGGCTTCGCCGCCGTTCGTGTCACTGTGTGATCGTCGCGTGTCGAGGACGCGCGCCTGTTTACTTTACCTTCGGCGTGTGAAGCGCATCCCGTCGCCCCGCGCGCGCGTCGAGTCGAACTGCAGCGGCGGGTGGTCTGGAGGGAGGAAGGGGATGGGAGGGCTCCGCTGGAGAACGTGAAGTGACAATTGTGAAAACTGGAAGAAAAGAAGTGAAAAGTGACGGACTGGACAGTGATTTAATTCACTGGATGAAAGTGTGTGTGTGGTGACTTTTTTCGGCGATACTGCTGGAGCAGAAAGAAGAATCGTCGTGAAGCTGCAAAAGTGACTGGAGCGCTGGAGAAATATGGCGATGAATAGAAACTCTCGCGAACAGTGACTGAAATACGCTAATTTTGAGCAGTGCCGCTGGAGAGCTCGGCGCAGTGTGCGTGCTGGAGTAGGCGCTCCAGGACCGACTCCGGCGGCTGCAGCGCGGCTCCAGCCAACGCGTGGGCCGGCCTATATGGCCGCTTTGGCGCCGCGAGCCGCGCGAAAGGATTTTAAATATTCCCGCCACGATCGTAATTCGCGCCACCCGTTTATCCGGATGAGCGGCGCCAGCGTCGGCGTCATGGAAGAGGACAAGCCGCAGGTTGGAGACATTTGCGAGAGCACATAAAAAATATTTTTAAATTGAAAAAATCGAGAGTAATAGTTAAAAGAATAGAAAAATTTTGGTCGGATTTGGAAAGTTTAGAAACAAAGTTTTGTTTGCTCTAAATTGATACCTGACCAGTAAATTGTCCACACTAAGAATTATTAAGTACTTAGTAGACTCTGTACGTGGAGGCTAGCTTCATAATTTTCTGAAAAACAATGTGTCTTAGAAAAAGGTTCCATATTTTATTGCCGCTTTGAGTAGCTCTGCCCAGCCTCTGCCGCCGGGAGCCCCGTTCGACGCGATGCTAATCGTTCCCTGTCTGTCTTCGGCATTATCGCACTGCGCCTTTTGTTTGCGCTCGAGGTGGGCGAGTTTAGGCCTCTTACTCCGCCTCGCCTCGCCCCGCCGCCTTGACTTTGTTGAGTTTTTCGGAAGGGCTAAACCGCACACCACACGGTGGCGCCAGTAGATTCACGACTCTCTCTCTCTCAGAATCAACTTGGTTGCTTGTATCGGGCATGTTGATTCTGACTAACAGTTGAGTAGCTCGTCCTAGTACAACTCGCTTGGTAGACCATGGCTGATTCCTACAACTAAGTCAGCTTGCACAGAGAAGTTGGTTGCTAAAACCGAAATGAGTCGATCATCACGATCAACCCGCCTCTCAGAAGCCAGATTTGCCGAAGTGGCGCGTTCCACCTCCCCCCTCCTAGTCGCCGCTGTGGCGCAGTGGTCTCCGTGCCTGGCGGCTGGATAGTAAGCGGAGGTTCGACTCCGGTCGGCGCCCAACCAGTTTCTCCTTGCACGGTGTCTTCTGACACTGTACTTAGTTAACTCAAAGCAGGGAGATGGACCGTAGATGAATGAAAGGCTACGGGAAAGGGAGATCACAGATATATTTTTTGTTATTGTTCCTATATTTGTTCTATCGACAGCCTGATCACTGTAACCAACTTTCTGGTCCCTGCGACCATACGCTCCGGGTTATCACGCTCAAGCATTAATATCGTGAAAGTTCTCACGACCAGCTAAAAGATGGTCCCGGCGACCGTATTTCTGATCCTCAGAATCAACTTTCCGCTTTTCGCAACTAAGTAGTGACTACGAAGCAGTTTGGTTCTTACAATCAGAAAGTCGATCGTCCCACAAGCTACTAGAATTTCTGGTCGTAGTAATCAACTTCTGATTACGACAACTAATTATTTTTTTCCGTGTACCACAAGCAAACAAGTCAACCTCAACTTGACCCACTCAAGGCAGCCCCTTTGCCTCTGCGCTGCAGTTTGGCCAGAGTCGGTCAGTTCACTGGCCAAAAGTACCCCGAAAATAATGTTTTTCTTTCCATTAATTGTTTATTCGCCTTATTAGTTCCATCTCTCTGGTCCCTGCCTCCCGGCTTTGTTTTGCAGAACAGAATCACGATTAACATTTTGCTGATATAACTTTAGGTCGCGGCCGCGCCGTTCCCGTATCACCGGTGTTCGTGCTGGCCTCGGGCTTCGCGGTAGGCCCGGGAGGGATCAGAACTGCAACGTCAACTTCTCAACTGCACTTTGCCAGGGACCAGTGGAGCAGTTTCTCTCATTTAAAATAAATTCCCGAAAAGTTTTGTGATTTTGCCTTTTAATCAGTGTCATTTTGGAATTGCGCCGGCGAATTTCTTTTCAAATAGCAACCCTGGTTCTACTGTTTTTTTGTTTTGTTTTTTTGCACTCTAAACTTTTTACTTGAAAATTTGCTTTAGTAACTACTAAAGTTTTGTGCTACAGTATATTATGAGAAATCAACTAGTCGCATCTAGTAATTACAAAACGTCTTCTAAGCATTACTTTTCTAAACGTTTTTCTAGTATTATAACTACGGTGCTGGAAAAACATTTAGTAATATCAGGAAAAAGTTGAGTAATACTAAAGAATTTCTGATTTATATAGCGGCACAAAACTTAAGTAGTTACTAGAACATTTTCAAGTAAAAAGGTTAAGACTGTGTGTACTCACTCACTCAGTCCTAAAGACCGCGGTTGTTGGATTATCATTTCTATTTTCGCGACGGCGAAGCGGCGCGTCGCTCAACTCGCTGCGAGGAGAGGGCGTGAGAGCGACGTGTGAGGGGCCAGCTGGCAGGCATGCAGACGAGAGACGGGCCGATGGATGGAGTCGTCCGCGGCGGGGGCGCGCGTAAGCGCTCGGACAATTATTAATAATCACTCGCGGACGGACCCTCCTCGAAAGGAAGTGCTGCTGCTGCTGCTGCTGCTGCTGCTGCTGCTGCTGCTGCTGCTGCTGCTGCTGCTGCTGCTGCTGCTGCTGCTGCTATGAGCCCGCGCTCTATGGTCTGGCCGCCCGTTGCACTCACGAGCAGTGTGACTCACTCGCTATGCTGCAGTGGAGCGCGGAGAGTTGGCAACGCTGATTTTGCCCTGCAATGCATTACTTAATATCGCGAGATGAGGGGGCGTCCTCGCGAGCCACGTCGCGCGCGTCCGACGAGTTGATAATATTGTTGTTTGTCGGCGAGGGACTTTTGAGCAGATTTTTACACTCGGGCGCTTGATTCCCCAAACAGATCTCAAATGCACGAGGCGGCCCCTTTGTGAAAGATAACTTTTGGCGGAGTGCAAATGACGAGCGGTGGAGCCCCGGAACAGGCGGCGCCCGGCAAAGTGGCGGGCGTCTATAACTGGATAATGCCCCCCGCCTCTCTCTCTCACTCTCTCTCTCGTCTTCTCACTCTCTCTCCTGGCGCCACTCCGCATACTAAACGCCAGACCGGCTCAATTTGCCCAAACCGCGTGGCGGCAGCACATGTGTCTGTCAGCCCCCCCCCCATTTTCCCACTTTTATGTCCTCACCCGAGGCCACGGCTCGACTCCTTCGACGCCGTCCTGGTCGCGCGCAGATGGGGCGCGGCGGGCACCTCCCGTTTCGATTCGATCTCGGTATAGTTATGTTTTGCCTGTACATGTAGTGCGTCCCCTCCCCCCCCCCCTCCCACCGCTCTCTCTGCAGTTTACATTCACGCTAGCCCGTTGCGTCCGTCCGGCTCCCTTGATCCAGACGCGCGCCTGCACTTTGTGCTCGTGCGTATCGCCTCTCACAAAGGGATGTTGCGTGAAAGGGATCCCCCTCCCTAAAGGATGCGGTCCTGCCGACGATCCCGGATCCTTTCGTTACCCCCCGGGGGCCCATCGGGATCTCATCCTCCTCCTCCTCCTCGTCCTCGTTGTAAACACCCTGGCGGGTAATACCGGGAGGTGCCCGTCCTGTCGACGCCCTTGCACGACAACAAGACCCCAGGGCGCCAGGGGAGCCGAGGTGCTGACGCCGGCTGTCGCGCGCCTCATGCTGGGTGTAGGGTAGGACCTGGGGAGAGGGAGAAGGGGGGGGGGGAGTCATATGGAGAACCACGCGGGGGCGAAGAGAAAACAGAGAAAATGAGGAAACCCGTTGGGGTGCGCGGGAAATTGTAAGGGAGGCGGGAGGAGGTGGGCGCGCGCGGGATGCAGCAGTCGGCAAGCTGCTAAAGCCCCGCGACGACGGCGGCCGCTGCAGAATGGCGTGGTGCGTACTCCACATCCTCCCGCCGCTCCCTCTCCCCTCCGCGCCCGCATCCTGTGCATGCGTGTGTGCCCCCTCGAGCGCTCATGAGCTTGGACCTCCTCCTCTCCCCCCTAGGCTGCTCACGTGGTCGCGGCCGCGGCTGCCGACGCTCGGGGTTCCGAACGCCCCCTCCCCCCCCCCCTCTCTCTCTCTCTCTCTCTCTCGTCGTGTTTACGACTGTACGGCCGCGGGCTCTCTCTCTCTCTCTCTCTCTCTCTCTCTCTCTCTCTCTCTCTCTCTCGTCGTGTTTACGACTGTACGGCCGCGGGCGGAAAGCCCTCTCTCTCTCTCTCTCTCTCCCTCCTCCCTCACCCGCTCTCTGCCCCTCTCCCCGACTGGCGCGGGCCGCTCGCCAGGACGCCGACGGCCCCCGGGTCCGAGCCGAGCCGAGCCGAGCCGAGCGGGGCCGAGCCGGGCAGAGGCCGAGCCGAGCCGGGGCGCGCGAGCCCCGCGGCCGAGGAGGAGCGTGACGTACTATCGCCTTGGTCCGGGTTCACGACGCGTCGCCTTTCGGTCCGACCCGCGCGCGCGCTCTCCGTGTACTCCGCCCGCGCCTTACCGGGACTCCCCGTGTGTGTACCGTGCCCCGTCCGCGAGCACCCCGAGTAGTGCGTGTCCGGCTGCTTAGTGTCGCTGCGTCTATAGGTGTCCGCCAGTGAGAGACAGCCGGCCGGACGGACTGTGTGTGTGCGTGTGTGTGATAGTGTCTGTGATTCGAGAAGATCTCCCCGAGTGTTTTTCTTGTTATTGTGAGTTCCGCCGGGCACAATGGTGCAGTGCACGCCCGCTGCCTCGGCTGCGGTGCTGCGGGCCCCCGGCCCCGCGCCCGCGCGGCCTGTGCAGCAACAAGTAGTAGTAGCGGATCGTCCCGCCCCGCCGTGGAGGTTAGGGTTGCCGCCCGGCGGCGCGCCTAGACTCAGCGACCGCTGCCGCCCAGAAAAACTTAAAAAGCCATGTGCAAAAGTCGAAGCAGGTGTTCAAAACTCGGCGCCAACTTACCTTAACCACCCCGGCGGTGAGCATATCATAGGGTCCCTATAACCTCCAAATGGTGATCCTAAATCAAATGAAACGCCCTTATAATATTTTTACCCCCGACTCCTCCTCTCCGTAGGGCAAGTAGTGTATCGGAATGTACACCGCCGTGGAAAATGTACCCCCGTGTCCCGCGTATCTCCCCCCATTGGTGCAACGATTTACGCGCTGCCCCTGGACGGGGACCCCTCCACCACCATACTTGATTGGCTGTTCGCCGGTCGTTATGTTTGGCCTCGCATCTTGGTCGCGCGCGTCCCCCTCAGAGAGCATCAAGATGGAGTCTTTCAATCAGCCCATTCAGGGAGGAGAGACCCTGGGGAGACCCTGGGGAGAGACTCTCTCCGGCGCGGGAGAGGCTCGCGGTCACGTGGGTCGTTACGTGGTTCCTGCACGTGGGCGGCAGTCGCCCTTTGCCTACCTGGGGGAGGGGGAGGGGGTGGTATGCGTGGCGGTCTGGGTCGGGG